ATAATAATTCCCAAGCTAAAGACCTACTGTTGTGATGTTCCTAGTAGAACTCAACTGGATGAAGCTTAAATACACTGACATCTTTTTACAAGAATGCGTGACACCTCAAATGTCAATGCAGCGAATGAGAATGAGTTTTACTTCAGGTACATATCCAAGTTCTCAACCACTTAAGGGCCTGTTACTGCATTGTACTGTTCCATGTTCTATGTCATGACTTCATGTAGTTTTGTGAATACATCAAGAATTAATTGGTACAATTGACATTCATAGTAAACTTTGAAAATGAACTAACTTCAGAATTGTCTTAAAATTCTGACTTCTGTATCCTGTGTTGTCTTTGTTGCATGGTTTCTTAAGCTGAAATTTAGTATACTTCTGTTGCATAAAAGGTGTCCCTGGCCCTTTTCATTAATTCAATGCTTGATCAATTTCTTGACCACTCATTTTCTCGTGCAGTCTATTCTTTGTCCTTTGTAACAGTTCTTAAACCGTTAACGAATAGTGTTTTGTTTTAAAGTAGAAAGTGGATTACTACCTACAAAACATCATCCTGAAAAGTTGCATTGAAATTTTCTCCATTTGTTTTGTGCTTCAGTTATGTCTAACCTTCACTTGTTCAAGAATTGCATTTGTTCTAAATCTAGTAAAGAGTGGCACTGCTTACATTCTTCCTTCCTCAAATACTTTCTTAAAGAACAGAAGCTCTTGATACGTATTTTATCATTTTGGATAGTTTCCATTTCTTATTGAAGCTGCATTTCTCACCTCTGTGTCCTGTTTTTCCACTTGCTCCCAACTGGTCTCAGAGAATATTTCTGTGCTGCAGCGGGATAAACAATTCTGATCCATATTGCTCTCAGAGTCTGGGATAGAGGTCTAATTACAGAACACAAACAATAATGGTAAAGTACAATCCATATCTACCAAAGTACTTACAACCCAGCAACATAAAGTACATACACTTGCATTGTAAGTGGAAGATAATTTTCTAAAACATTAGTGGAATCACAATCCTCAGACCATGTAAGCATTTTATATGAATATTAATAGAACTCAGATCTTCAATCTCAAAAACGCAGAATATTCTTACTAATAACGCTGCTTATAACATGATATAAAACAGTAATAGTCTTCATAATCAAGCATTTGTTAATAGTTCGTAAATTCCTTTACAACAGCATTTATTAAAAAAAAACGTTAAATGAGTCACAAAACTAGGTCACCTGGTGCATCAAATGCAAATCACACATTCCGTTTTCCTTGGGACATCATACATCCTATAGGTGCTAACAAATCTACACATTCAGAGTTTCATTTAAGTAAAATGTGTTAAAGGCTTATCAGACAAAATTTTTGTTATTTTGTGTTGATAATGATAGGCTGATGCGCTTCACAGTTGAATTCAATCTCCCTGTTCTTTTCCCGTCCTGTAAACAAGAAGCTTTCTGCTTGTTTTAAAAATCTTAGTTCAGAATATTTGTCAGACTTCATCACTTTGTTTCCATCAGCAGACCATCAGAAATTTAAATAAACAAATGGTGTGTAAACTTCAAACCATGATAAAGCATCTTATTCTAAGAAAAAACTGTACCATAAATTAAGAGTATTATGTAGTAATTTGTACAGTTTGTTAATTAGATGCTCAGTCGTATGGCATTGAAAACCACATTGACTTAACTGGCTCCGAGATGGCAAGACGTGCAGATGCGGGAGTCAGAGACAACAGTGTGGAAGTGGAGGAACACAGCAGGCCAGGCAGCAGAGGAGCATGAAAGTTGACGTTTCGGATCGGGACCCTCCGTCAGAAAGGGGGAGGGGGAAGGGAGCTCTGAAATAAATAGAGAGAAGGGTTGGGGCTGGGGAAAGCAGGTGGGATGGTGATAGGTGAGTGCAGATAGGGAATGGTGGGGATTGGTCAGTGGGATGGGTGGACTAGATAGGTGAGAGAGAAGACGGACAGGTTGTGTCACGTCAAGAGGCGAAGATGAGAGGGAGGGTTGGACGTGGGATGAGGCCGGGGGGTGAATTCCATGTTTAGGCCATGGGGCTGTAGGCACCCGAAGCGGAACATGAGGTGTTGGTCCTCCAGTTTGCGGGTGGTATCATTGTGACTACATCTCCTCACCCACCATCCTGCAAGAATGCGATCCCCTACTCCCAATTCCTCCGCCTCAGCCGCGTCTGCTCCCAAGATGGGGCATTCCACTCCTGCACATCCCAGAAGTTACAGTCCTATTTCAAGGACTGTAACTTCCCCCCCTCTGGTGATCGAAAATGCCCTTAACCGCATCTCTTGCGTTTCCTGCACTTCTGCCGTCGCATCCCCTCCCCGCAAAAAATAAAGACAGAATCCCCCTTGTCCTCACATATCACCCCACCAACCTCCACATTCAACGTATCATTCTCTGCCACTTCTGCCATCTACAATTCGACCCCACAACCAAACCAGTATTTCCCTCCCCACCCCTATCTGCCTTTCGTAGGGACCGCTCTCTCTGCGAATCCCTGGTCCGATCCACACTCCTCACTAACCCCGCCACCCTCGGCACCTTTCCCTGCAACCACAGGAAGTGCTACACCTGATCCTACACCATCTCCTTCACCTCCATTCAAGGCACAAAAGAAACCTTCCATATCAGAGAAGGGTTCACCTGCAAATCCGTCAACTTGGTTTGCTGTATCCGCTGCTTCTGATGTGGCCTCCTCTACATCGGTGAGACAAAGCGTAGACTCGGAGACCGTTTTTAGAGCATCTGTGCTCTGTATGTGACAAACGACAACCCCTTCCGGTCGCCAACCATTTTACCTGCCCCTTCCACTCCCTGGGTGACATGTCTATCCTGGGTGTCCTCCAGTGTCACAAGGACACCACCCGCAAACTGGAGGAGCAGCATCTCATCTTTTGCCTCGGGAGCCTACAGCCCGATGGCCTAAACATGGAATTCACCAGTCTTAAAATCTCCCCACCCCTGGCCACATCCCATGTCCAACCATCCCTCTCATCCTGCCTCCTTGACCTGGCACAACCTGTTTAACTTCTCTCCCTCCTATCCGCCTCACCTATCCCACTGACCAATCCCCACCACTCCCTACCTGCACTCAACTATCACCATCCCACCTACCTTCTCTAGCCCTACCCCTCCTCTCTTTATTTATTTCCCAGCTCCCTCCCCCCTCCGCATTTCTGAAGAAGGGCATCGACCCAAACCGTCAACTTTCCTGCTCCTCTGATGCTGCCTTAAGTGGCATTCTGTTCCAACAGTTGCTCGTATTATTGTATGTCTTAATACATAGAATTGAGAATGAACTAATTTCATGCAGGATTCAACATGATTTCCATTTCTAGTATTCCCTTCAGAATGTAGTGACCTATCCAATATTCGACTACCAACTACTGCACTAATCAGGGTTTGCACTACTGGATACAATATTCAATGAGTCTCCAGGCTCTTTTTTTTTGAAACGGTGATAACAAATCAGGTATTAAAATATTCTTTTTAAAAAAAAAACAATAGGTAAAACAGTATCAAATTCCATCATGGCTAGTAATTATAATAACACTAATCAGTGCAGCACAAAAAAATCTCCCAACTAGTCCCAGTGTTGTATATCATTAAAACTGTACATAATACACAAAATATATTAGTATACAATGGCAACCTATCAAAGCTATCTTCTCAGTATTGACCTTTCAGGTAAAGAATTTGAAATACTGCTTCAATGATTGTTATCTAAAATTTCCCCTCTGAGTGAAAAACACTCAAATGAAAAAATATATTACTTGTGGACATTAAGTAATGATCAGCATAAATGTTTCACGCTAATTGGTTCCAAAATAAATCCCAGATCTATACATTATTTCAAAAATACAAAAGTTTATAAAATGTTATTCTATTGGATTATAAACATCATAGAACTGTATGTTTCAGTCAAACAGACCATGACCAGGCCTTTTGTTGCATCTGCTTCCTAGGAACACCTAAAAAATTTCCAAAATTGTAGAATATATGATAGCATTACAGCTAATTAATCAGTTTTTCATGGAATGCGTAAGTGTGTCATAGCCTCAAAATGGCATCAGTCCATAAAATTACATATGATAAAGATCATTTAAGAAAATTAAATGTGGTAGCATGCCATAATAAAGAGATTCCAACCATTTCTAAATTTCTCCACTTCCTTTCTCAACCTGATGTCTCTTGTTGAAGGCCAAGATGATTAGAAAACAGTGAGATTTCTACCATGTATATTAATATCTATGATCACCCAGAGGCATTGGCAGCTCTGTATTTGTAATTTTTTTATATAAAAAAGAAAGCTTCTTCTTTTTACATGCACATGCATTTTAAGTTTAAATCTGTATCTTCTCTTTTTTTCCTTTTATTTTGCACTATTTTCTTCTCTCATGAAAACTTTGACTTCTTGCTGTCCAGAGAGCACCAGAGAGCCATTCCACCATTAACGGTATCAGAGTGGAAGACGATCATCATCCTTTCCAAGATTTACACACACATAATTTGGCACATAGATATGGGATGAAAAGAGTCATCATTGTTAGACACTCCAAAAGAATGTGGTACATACAGCTGATTCAGGAATTAGAAGGTTCAAGCAGAAAATAAGAACGAGTCAAATGTCAATTAAGTAGAGATTGGTAGATGTCCAAGTGTAAATACTAGTCAAACCCAATTTGGAATGGAGTATAAAAATAGAAGCCATGTTGATATAGACAATCTGTTCCCAAAGATTCTATTGTCTAAAAAAGCATCCCTATGCATCTCTTAAGAGATAAAGGCACAATACAAACATGTAAACAGTGGGCTCAATAGAGCTTTTTCAGTACTTAGCTGTTGGATGATGCCACCCATACTGAGCAAACGTAATGCACTTCTGTCAAATGTATCAAGTGACTATGCATTTATAAGAAATACACAAGGTTTTAAAAAATATATTTAAATGCACTTGTTTATCAAATTTCATACTCAAAGAGGAATGTAGGAATGAAATCTGGACACCAGACAGTAGCAATGAAGTTTCATTTTCATGTTGCAGCACCGTTTTTATGTTAGATTTCCAAGAGCTGCAATATTTTACTGTTGTATTACATTATTTCTTTAAGTCATAGCACTACCCGACCATAAAGCTGCTCGTTAGAGATCAAAGACTGGTGGTGGTTTAACCCGAAGGTCACCACACCTCAGGCGAAGTGAGAGGTTAAGGAGAGTCCTTCACGGTAACCAACTGGTGTGGGAATTGAACCCGTGCTGAAATCTGCATTGCAAACTAGCCATCCAGCCAACTGAGCTAACTGACCCCTTTGTACTGATAGTTTAAATGTAATAATTTTTACTTAAATAGCATTCATAACACGCCTAAACGCCCTAAGACAGTTCACATTACATATCAGGCAAAATCTGACATCAAACCGCAGAGATATTGGAACAGGTTAACAAAATTTGCAAAAGATAGGTTTTAAGTAAGGGAGGATGGAAGACAGGGAAGACAGAGAAGCAGAGGGTTAGGAAGCAAATTTCAAACCTTGGAAGCTGAAGGCATGCCATTAATGATGTTGTGGCAACAGATAATGTGGATACACAAGTTGTTTACTGAGTTAGCAAACTAATAGATTGTGAGGAGATTTGAACAATAGAAGAAGAATTTTAAATTTGATGCATTGCTGGACTAGGAGTCAATGTAACTTGGTGAAAGCATGGATGCTGGATGAACAGAACTTGGTGCGGTTAATGTCTGAGCAGTAGAGTTTACAACATCTGAAATTGACAGGGTCGAAAATGGAAGGTCTGTCAGAAGAACATTAGACTAGTTAAGTGTTGAAGTAACAAAAGCATGGAAGAGGGTATTCAGTGTTTCTGTGCTGCTTTATTAGAGCTTGTTTGACTGATGCTTAAACCAACCTTAATACAAATCCTATAGAGCAAAAACACAAATATAAGTTTCTAAACTCTTCCTTGTCCATCAACATTCCATCAGTTGACTCTCTTTCCAAATCTATATTTTTACTCACTTGGAGAACTCCTAATAAGAATTTTCAATACTGCCATCCACCTACCTCCTCAAATACTGAATTTACCTGCTTTTGAATCTTTAGGTCTCTGATCATCCAATCTTGAAAGAGGAGTCATTTCCTTGGATTGGACCAATTCAAAGCCAATTTGTTTCCTAATCAAGGGTATTTCAGAAGTTTGCTGAGACATGTTATTCAACTGATTGTCTTTTTTTTTGAAGTCGGAGTGAGATGTCAAGCATTTCAATCAATTAATGAGGAATGCATGAGCAGCAAGGAAACTAAAGCAGGTTCCCTCATTAGCCATCATCAATAATAGCTCTTACTGAACTAGTTACTAAGCTGGTAATTGCATAATATTTACATTATTTAATTCTAGTACATTCTAGCACAATTATTTATATGCCGTGGACCATTTAGAAATGTGAGCAATATAACTAAACAATCATTCTGAAAGCTAAGACAAATTTTATACCAAATTATTCCTTTCATTCAGAACAATCTTCTGACTATCCACAAATTATTCAGTACCCGCATAAATAATAAAAATATTGTACAAAATAATTAAAATTACAGATGTTAAAACACAATTGTATTTATTACCCAAGCTCAAAACGATAATTATAAAAAAAATGCATCTAACCAATTAAGGAAAACTACAGACATTTAGGCACAACATATGCTGTAACATTTGACTTTCTTTATCGATTTGCACTTTTCATTTATTCCAATGGAATGAACAATACAAAAATGAAAATAGGTAGGAGCAAGAAAATAAACACCATCGTAACACTTTCCCCCTAGTCTGTTTAATGATGAAATAATTTCATTTGGAGAGGCAGATTTCAATATTCTGGACTTGGATGAGCCCTCCAGGTTTCAGTGAGAATGATAGGCATTTTTAAGTCAATTTGTTGTTGTTTACTAAGTTAAACTCAGAACAAACATTTTTAAATTACGGATGAAATTCTTGATCCTGCACTTTAAAGAATGTAGGATATTGTAGCCAAATACTTTAAAATCCAATGAATCTTAAGCATGAAATAAACAAGTAAAAATATTTAGCTTGAATAATGGTTGAATATTTACTGGGTAGCATTTGCCAACAGTTTTGTTCAGTTATACACTGGGAAAGCTGATTTGCTTTAAATCCTGGTGTTAAAATCATGATGTTCACAATGTTAAGAGTTGGCTTTTTTAAAAAACAAAAAATATTCAGACTGCAAATTTTCATTACAGTATATACATTGATTGATCCTTTTCCTGTTGCTCCAATGGAATCATCACCTATTACATCATTCTCATGTCAATACTGTCTCACAACCTGCATTAATAGATACAAATAAAGCATGGTCAGATGGCACAATGCCGAGTACAAGACATTAGACTAAGCGAGCAAGAGTTTGCTCAATTAGATAGTCTTTGTAGTGTTTTAAAAGAGATGCAGGCAGATAGGTGAACAAAACCCAGAGTTACAGGAGTAATAAAAGAGTAAAAACTCTAGATGTTAGAAAACTAGAAGGTTTAAGGAAATGAAAATATTTCAGCATTTTCAGGTTTTATATGTGAGGTAAAGGGTTTAGGAATTTCCTAAAGGAAATGCTACTAAAGGTTGGAGGAAGGAACTGAGGTACAGAAAAGGCCAGGTGGAGGAACAGAGAATTTAAGGGTTATAAAAGAGTGAAGAAGGCGAAAGAGATTTTTTTTGGGTGGGTGGGGGGAATGGAAATCAGGAACTAGGAGATGGGAATGACTTTACAATGCGAGATTTGAACTGCAAGCAGGGCTTGGTGCAGGATATAAATAGGAGAGTACTCAAAAAGTTCAAATTTAGAGGAAGCAAAGCTGTCCAGGATAGAGTTAGATTAGTCCAGTCTAGAAATAAAAAAGTCACAGTTCAGTAGCGCACGTGTTGGTGTAGGAGTGGATTTGGGTGACTTCAGAGGCTGGAGAGGGCAGTCACTGAAGGATGGGCTCAGTGTCAAGAACTTTAGTGGCATTTTGGCGGAGAAAATGAGGGTTCCGTTAGTGATAATAATGGTACATCAAGTACTGGATGTCAACAAGCAGCAAGGTAGAGAAAGCAAAATAGTTGAAAGATGCAGTTGTGTGTCAAGTACATAGACATAAAATCAGCTTTTGCAACTAAGAACAACACTGTAAAGTAAACATTTAGATAGAAATTGTCTGAACTAAAGAATAATCCTTTAGGAATGTTTGAGGAAATGTGCGGGGCTGAATGGGAAGAAACCAATTGCTGAAAATGCTGTGGCCAAAAATGAACATATAGTTTAAGACAAAATTAATTTAAAAAGATTTAACATGATATCTACTGTTGGAGCAATAAATTATTCCGAGCAAGTAAAAGCAACAAGGTTATCAATAGAGATTGTATGGTACAACCAGAGTGTATAACTGCAACAGTTTCCATTATCAGAATAGCAAGGGTTTGACCCTACCTCTGGTTCAAGACCCACCTACCCAGAAGTGTACCATAACACATCTGTCCAAGCAGGCCGACTAAAATATTTTGATATAAAATATTTGACTAAAAATAATTTAAGGGGGAGCTGGTGATACTGACAGGTAGTAGGGGTTATGTGGCTATTCAATCAATGAACTGTCACGAGGAAAAGATGTTGAGTTCTAATTCAGCAGGAGACTGAGCTCCTACTTAGCATGTAATGTCATATTAAAAATAAATGTTCGAGGTAGAATAGTTGCTAACATATCACCAACATGTTTTCGATTTAACTTGATAATTTTGATTCAAAAATTTAAGTTTAAATAAAAATTAGTTAGGTTGTGCACAAGAACACTGTACAGTCAACATTCATAATGCAAGAAAAAATTCATAGACTTACCACTTCATCACTAAACTCTCCATTAAAACGCAGGGATGAATTGCTAAAATGCTGGCACTCCAGCCTGCTCCACAGTTCTTGCACCTGTTTTTTTAAAGTTTCTACCTCTTGTTGATGCCCTGCCTCTATCTGACGAAGTCGTTGTTGAATAATATCATTGTAGGTGGCCAGCCCATCATCATCCAAATGGCTTCGTGTAGGTTGATCTGGGCTTGCTACTGGCTGCTGTTTTCCAGAGCAGTAATGTGACCACTTGGAATGGGGGTTTCTAAAATGACCAGATGGAAACTGCAAAGAACTGCAACTAGCTGCAGAAACTTGTCTACTTAACACCATTTTCCCTCTCAACTCGTCTCCATTTATACAGAGTCCATTAGCTGTGATATTTCTTTGAGTACCACTTCCAAAGTCTGTTGCTTTTTCCACAACTGTATTTTCACTGTTGACTTCTCCATTAGGAACAAATCCATCTTTACATTCACTTAATGACAAGGCACAAGCGGGAGGCTGTGAACTTTGAACGCTTTTATCTGAAGTCCTATGTAGATCAGTTGCGAATCTTGGTTTCAATACCATATCCTGGTTTTCAGGTACAAATTGAGAAAAACTATTTTCAGAATTTACAGCAGGTACCATGGTACCATTTGCTCTGGTATTCAAATAAAGTTTAGCACCAGAGTAGATTTGAGGCGCTTCCTGATTTGCTCCGTCTCCTGTTAAAGTTTCAGTAGAACTTTCCAAAGTAGGTATCTTCTCCTCCAGTTTGTCTGGAGTGATTAAGTGGGGTAAGCAAGATTGAGATGCAGTATATTGATTTTCTGGTTCAATACTTGGACTAATCAAATCCCCTGATTCAGTAAACGATTTTGGATAACTTGAAGAATTTTCAGTAGCAACCTTTCTGAAACCAGCATCTATACCATGTAACATTGGAATCTGAATTGTGGACTCTAAGAACCCGTCCTGGGTCCCTTCTTCTGAATTTGTAACAAGCCCAGAATTAGGCTCAGTATTTTCCATTTCATTCATTGCTAATGTTTCCGAAGATTCTGTGACAAAAGTTACCAATTGATTAGTCAGGCCACTGTCAAGCTCACTTTCACTACTTAAAACATTTACGACTTGTTTTAATTCTGTTACTGGTGCATCCTTCGACTGTTCCTCCAACCCACTATCTTCTTTAGAGGCTTCTTGTAAAATATTCTCCATTTGACCTTCCCCAACACCAGCAGCTACAGAAAGTTCAGCTCCCAAAGGATTCTTTCCTAGCTTTCCCAATTCCAGTGCTTCACTGTTGAAGGAATCATCTAGTCCATTCCCATCCATCAATCCCCCTATTCCAACACTGTTAAGTTCCAATGACTTGCGATGTTCCTGCCATTTCTCATTTAGACTTGGATCACTGGAGCGTCTATTTGCTGTAGGCCCAGGATTATCGCAAACTGTTGTCAAGTTGTCAAATGATCTAGTCTTTGGTAACCTTTGGTAACAGAAATAGATTTATCAATTAACTGTTTAATATATTAGGATCAATTCTGGTTTCTCCAACTACATCTGTGATTCCAAAATGAAATAGCTAAAAATAGTCAAGAAGGAAAGCGGTTAATAAAGAGTCACGGGGTTGGTTAGCTCAGATGGCCAGATAGGTAGACAGCAGAGCAAAATAATGCAAATAGCGCAGGTCCCTCTAATGCCTGTGGTAGTCCATGGAAACCTACTTCCTTGCCTTGAACCAGATAGCTAGAAAGTGGAGCAAAATAATGCAAATAGCACAGGACCCCTCTAATGGCTGTGGTAGTCCATGGAAACTTCCTTGCCTTGCCCCAGGTTGTGTGGAAAAGTGCTCTTTAAGCTATAAAACTACTTGTCTTTGCCTAACAGAGAGAGATGCATGTGATCCCTTGTGGTAATAATCAATTGATCCCTATGGGAATAAAGCCCAAGTAAGTGTTGTGTAGCTTCATTCAAATAGTTGCTAAGTAATTTATTACGAGTGTTTCTAAATATGCTATAGAGGAACTACTTCTTGATCACCCCATAAACCTAATGATTTTCTACATTAATACTATTAGGTAGGTTATTTGATGCATCAACTGAGTCAGCGTTTTAAAAATATTCAATTGATAAAACAAACCACTTCTTTTGTACATGGGAATACAAAATGGGCCATGTGTTCATACTCAAAAAAAAAATCAGCAAATATTTCAACTATGCATTAAATAGTTTTATGCCTGTTGAAGACATAACCAGTCCGAAAAAAAACAATGTCTTTAAAAAAAAACATCTGCAATAAACTGGAGTTGGACAATTTAATGCTGTGATCTATCAGATAATCTTTGTAATTTCCAAATCCATTAATGTTAATATCTACAAAGTTAAACAGGATGACAAAAAATCTTCATTATCTGTACTGTATTTCAAGCAAAGCTTTTCTTTAAACGAAGTGCAAACTTGCTGGCTTCTTTCAGTTTTCAGAAGCTAGTTCCTTATGCCATCCTGCTGTCAACCACATTATTTTACCTTGTTTTAAGCTAAATGCTCAAATGAAAACTAAGAAAGAAAAGTTTGATCTAGTTTAGCATCCAGATTCAAGTAGTTTCAACATTAAAATAGTTAAAGTTGCAAAGGGGCATACATCAGATTAAGTGAGAGGTCAAAATTGCAGCAATTGGGAGGTCAATGTAGGAAAGTCTGATGTCATCCACTTTTCACATAAAAATCAGAGTATTTTCTAAAATGGTAATATTCTAGGATCTGTAGAAGTGCAGGACCATGGAGAGAAATCACTTACAGCTGGACTGGTAAAATTAATAATCAAAGAGGGTAATGAAACATTGGTCCTTATTTCAAGAAGACTAGAATACAGAGGAATGGAAGTTACATTAGAACTTTTATAGATTACAGCGATGTGGTTAAATCTTAACCTGCAGTATTATATTCAGTTCTGGGCATCACATTTTAAGAAGGCTGTATTAATCTTAGAGGTGTAATGTGGACGTAACAATTATAACAAATCTAAAAGCATTGAAATTATGAAGGCAATTTGTATAGACTGGGCTTATATCCTTTTGAATAGAAAGAGGACTAAGGAGTGATCTAAATAGGATGTTTACAGTTAAATAAAGTGATAGAGTGGACAGAAATGAATTATTTTCTTTACTGGATGAAGTCCAGGAGAACATAATCTTAAACTTAGAGATAAGCCATTAAGTGGACAATGTCAGAATGCTGCTCCTCACGCAAAGTAGTTGAAATATGGAACTTTCTCCCCAAAATCCTGTTGACACAAAGTCAATGAAATATGACAAAATTAAGATTCATATTTTCTGTCATGCTAAGATATTTAGGGTTATGAATAGATGCAGTTAAGATCTAATTAGCCGTGATCTAATTGAAAGGCAGGGTTTTAGGAGCTGTACATTTATAGAATAGATCAAAATATTTTAAGTACACATTACCACTAAATATCAAAATACGCTTCTATTTCATTTTTGTAAGGATATTGGTGCCCCTGGCAAGGTCAGCATTTGTTGACCATTCATAGTTGCCCTTGAACTGATTGTAATGGCCTATAGAACTAGATGATAGTTAAGAGTCAGCCACATTGCTGTGGGTCTGGAATCACATGTAGATCAGGCAAGGATGGCAAATTTCCTTCCCTAAAAGGATGTTATTGAACCAGAAGGGTATTTAATGACAGTTGACAAAGATTACATGATCACTTTTGGTTCCAGAATTTTGTTAAAAATTGAAATCAAATTACACCATCTGCTATGGCAGGATTCAAACTGAAGTGCCCAGCAGTAGCTAATGTCACTAGTCTAGTGATATTACCACCACGTCACTCCCTCCCCAGTAATATGGGCCTGAACTTCCAAAATCAAAATATCAAGACAATTACAGAATCAAAGAGTTATACAGCATGGAAACAGATCCTTTGGTCCAACTCGTCCATCCAACCAGATATCCTAAACTGATTCAGTCCTACTTGCCAGCATTTGGCACATATCCAACCAAACCCTTCCTATTCATGTACCTGTCCATATACCTTTTAAATATTGTAATTGTACCTGCCTTCACCACTTCCTCTGGCAGCTCATTCTATACACACATCATCCTCTGCGTGAACAAGTTATCCCTCAGGTTCCTTTTACATCTTTCCCCTCTCACTTTAAACCTGTGCCCTCAGTTTTTCCTATCCTGGGAAAAAGACTTTGCTTTTCACCCTATCCATGCTCCTCATGATTTTATAAACCTCTATAAGGTCACCCCTCAGTCTCCAACCCTCCAGGGAAGAAAGTCCCACCATATTCAGCCTCTCCCTATAGCTCAAACCCTCCAATTGTGGCAACATCCTTGTAAATCTTTTCTGAATCCTTTCAAGTTTAACAACATTCTTCCTATAGGAGGGAGACCTGAATTGAACACAGTATTCCAAAAGTGGCCTCACCAATGTCCTGTACATCCACAAGACATCCCAACTACTATACTCAATACACTGACCAATGAAGGTAAGCATGTCAAATGTCTTCTCCACCATCCTGTCTACCTGCGATTCTATTTTCAAAGGAACTATGCACCTGGACCACTAGTTCCATTTGTTCAGCAACACTCCCCAGGGCCTTACCACTAACTGTAGAAGTCCTGCCCTCATTTACCTTACCAAAATGCAAAACCTCACACTTATCTAAATTAAACTCTATTTGCCACTTCTTAGTCCATTGGCCCATCTGATCAAGATCCCTTTGTACTCTGAGGGAATCATCTTCATTGTCCTAAACAACTAATTTTGGTGTCATCTGCAAACTTACTAACCATTCCTCCTATATTCACATCCAGATCATTTATAAATGATGAAAAGCAGTGGACCAAGCATTGATTCTTGCGGTGCACCATTGGTCACAGGCCTCCAGTCCGAAAACAACCCTCCATGACCACCGTCTCCTATCTTCAAACTAATTTTATATCCAATTGGCTAGCTCCCCCTGGATTCCGTGTGCTAACCAGTCTACCATGCGGAACTTTGTCGAACACCTTGCTGAAGTTCATATAGACAAAGTCTACTGCTGTCTTCTTCAATCTTCTTTGTCACTTCTTCAAAAAAACTCAATCAAGTTTGTGAGACAAGATTTCCCATGCACAAAGCCATGTTGACTCTCTCTGATCAGCCCTTGCCTTTCTAATTGCATGTACATCCTGACCCCTTCAACAATCTACCCACCTCCGACATCATGCCCACCAGTCTACAGTTCCCTGGCTTTTCCTTACCATCTTTGTTAAATTATGGCACCACATTAGCCAGCCTCTAGTCTTCCAGCAGGTCACAGCAAGGGGCCTAGCAATCTTTTCCCTAGATTTCCACAAAGGTCTGGGATCCATCTGATCAAGTCCCACAGATTTATCCACCTTTATGCGTTTTAAGACATCCAACAGCTCCTCTTTTGCAATATGGACATTTTTCAAGATATCACTGTTTATTTCCCAAGTTGTCTAGCTTCCACATCCTTATCCAAATAAATACTGATGCGAAATACTCATTTAGTATCTCCTGTGGTTCCAAACATAGACAGTCTTGTTGAACTTTAAATGGCCCTATTGTCTCTCCAGTTACTCTTTTTCCCTTAACGTATTTGTAGAATCTCTTTGGATTCTCCTTAAACCTTTGGTAAAGATATCTCATGTCCCCTTTATGTCCTCCTGATTTCCCTCTTAACCATACCCCTACTGCCCTTATACTACTCTAAGGATTTACTCAATACCAGCTATCTATACCTGACATGTGTCTCCTTCTTTTTCTTGACCAGAGCCTCAATTTTTCGAGTCATCCAGCATTCCCTACACCTACCAGCCTTGTCCTTCACACTGACAAGAACATATTGTCTCTGAACTCGTTATCTCATTTTTAAAGGCCTCCCACTTTCCACCTGTCCCTTTACATGTGAACAGCCTCTCCAAACCAACTTTTGAAAATTCTTGCCTAACACTGTCAAAATTGGCCTTACTCCAATTTAGAATGTTAACTTTTAGACCAAGTCTATCCTCTTCCATACTTTAAAACGACTTTTTAAAACAAATTTAAGAGTTTCTGTGAACATACATATTATTATGAAACATTTTCCAAGACAGACAGCAAAGGATTGAAGTTTAGTACAGAGGAAACAAAAGGCTTAGACAAAAGAGGTTATTGCATTGAAACATTCAAGATTATGAAGGGATTTTAAAGGGTACACAGTGAAATATTTTCTCTGGTTGGGGAATCTAGAGCAAGGGAGCACCGTTTCAGAATATGAGACTAATCATCTAGAACTGAGGAGACATTACTTCAATGTGCCATCACTGAATATATTTCAGGCCTAAACTGACAGAGTTTTGATCTCTCAGGGAACTGAGGGTTACAGGGATTGGGTAGGAAAATGGAGTTGGAACCCAAAATTTGTCATGATCATACTGAATGGCAGAACTTGCTCAATGGTCCATATGATCTTATCCTGCTCCTTTTTTTTATGTTCTTGCAAATTTAATTGTGGTGCTAAGTATATGTAAGCCCACGCCATATACATGATTCATATATATAGGTCAGTACGTTAGTAATTAGATCATTGCCCAATTGATTGTGAGGCAAACGAAATTCCCTGCTTGTTCATAACATAATTTGCAATGATCTTACTTCACATGAGCAGATTCTCAGCTTGAAGTTTACCTTCCCAATGGTTGCTCCTCAGGGATGGACCTTGGAACTGGATAAGGTGCACAATGATCATCAGTAGGCATTGAAGGAGATGAATTGGGGATGTACACTGCGCTCCAAAGCATTAAATTCCTTACATGGCACACTGGATGTAGTACCTGTTTTAAACAATGAAGTGTTTTGATTGGGATATGCAACATAGAGATGCTGTTCTTTGAAACTGTTTCCTCTTATAATGTTTCAATTAAACAAACAAAATCTAATTAAAAACTGTACAAAATTGTATGGTTTATTGTCAAGAAAAAGTGAGCAAATATTAATTAAAAGTAAATAATAAGAAAAATGGTTGTAATCAGGACCTTATTGAAAGGTCATTAAATTTAATCCCATGATCGAAAATGGTAACACAAAAGTAACATACGGCAGATGTTGGAAATCCAAACAAGAACTGAAAATGTGAGAAATACTCAGAAGGTCAGGCAGCATCTATGGGGAGAAGAGTTTACATTCCAAGTCGACGATACTTTCCAGTTCTCAACTGCCATTTTCAAGCACTGAACAATGCAAAGTTAACGCTCTCAGATTCTATACAATATGACTAAACTAGAAAACCGCTCAAAGGATTCCAAATATTTTGCAAATTAAAATGGAATTGAATGTAAGAATTTATAACTAGCATAATCCTTATATTTATTTTGCTAAAATAAGAACAGTATTGAAATTTTGCTAGATTTTTTATTTTTTTCTCACCAGAAATTCAACTTTCTGCTGTTTACATCCTTTATAAGTAGATCTCTACCTACTCTTCATTTCTATTCCCATTATTTGTATATGATCCCTTAATATAAATCTGATAAATAAAATTAAAAGATTACACGCTCCCAAATGGTGCTTTAAAAAAGTGGTGATTAAAATTTCAGATCTCAGAACCCTGAAAACATTCAAAAACATACAGCATCAATTTCAATTTTTGAGACTCAATTTGCTACTGCAGATGTTTATCTAACAACCATGAAGTAGATATGGAATCCAACTGTCCAATAATCTTACTACAGAATTATATGCTACCATCCGTTATCAGATAAAAACACGTACAATCTTTATAATCCAATGAGAGATCATTTATATTGAATTAATGTTTCTCAATATAGCTAAAGCACAAAGAATAAAATGTTAGTTCATATACCACAATCATCTTACAGAAACTGATGTAAGCAAACGTACAGTTTCAGATTGTGAGGTGTACAGGAGATTTTTAAAGGATTTGTTAGCAGGCCTCAGGAGGGACCAAACAGAGCAGGTTCTTTCCTGAGTGTGTTTCTCTTCACGCTCCTTTGCACTGTTGCACAGGAATGTTCCAAAAAGGCAAGAATATGTATGCTGTACCAATTTAGCCTAGAATAAACAGATAGGAATAAATTAATGATTTATGTTCAATTTTGGCAAACCTGTCTACTCCAGAGGAAAGGACCACCAGAAAAAATTCTACTTACAAGGAATGCTTCATTAAACTCAAAAGAACAAGGAAACTGTCTCTGTAACTGATGGACACAATCAAGCCATTGAAGAAACACAGGACAGCGTTCATTGAGATCATCTGAGTTTTCACCATGGCCGCAGCGATCAGCAAATTTATGACCAAAATCCAGCCACTCAGTTTCCACTAGTACCTGAAAACCCTGAAAAATAAATAAACTGTTTGTGTTAGAATTCGTGCAGCATGGGCATCTTTAAAAATAGCAGTATTATCCGTGGGTTTTTGTCAAGACTCAAAATTCATTTGTTGCTCTGATTTTAGAACATGACCCCTCAATTTGGAGGATGAACTAAAACTACAGATAAGGCATTTTTTGATTCTTTTGGATACATATTTAATAACACGGCCTTCAAACAAGTTACTCACCTGGTGATGATAAGAGTTCATCATTTGAAAAAAATTGTTAAACATTTTTAACATCTTTATTCATGTTTGAACATATCTGGATAAAGGCATTTATTCCACTCAATGTATAGCTAGTTTCCATTGGAATTTAAATGCAATTTTGTTTATTTTAAAACAGAAAATTATACCATACAGATTTTATCTAGAACATATCCAAAGTAGTACATCACTATTACTTAAGAGTTTCAACAAGGCTTCAATGTTTTGAAATCAAGTGTAAAGAAAGTATGTGCTACCTTGATTTTTATTTGCAACTATTAAATGTAGTATTTTCAGTGGTAAAAGTTAATATTTTGAGGCTGAAAATGCATTTTATCACCAATAATAATAAAATGCATAGTATGACCATTTATTTTACTAAATCATCTCCAAAATTGTTCTTCCAGGAGATTTTTACTCATTATACAAGCAAATCATTTTGCTAAATATTTTCAAGTTAGTTATTAAACACAGCTTTTGGAAATGTACAATTTTTTGCAATATCATCCTAAATATCTTCAAACTTTACCTTTCCTAACTGGCAGTGCTCAGTAAAACTGCTTTCGTAAATTTTATTGGAACTTACTGTGCGGAAAAGTTAACAGATACACACACACCTCTATTGTTCTGTAGTAAGGATCCAGCAGTAACTTTGATAGAGCCACAATTTGTGGTGTTCGGTCCCAGCCATCAGAACAGTGCACTAGAACAGGCCGCTGATCACGATCGACTGCATTAATTACAAGTAGCGCTGCTTTTAAAAGCATGGATAGATGCTGAAGCCATTTCGTACTTTCTAATGCTGATAACCAACTGCTGATCAAAAATCAAACCAATCAAGAAAATATTTTAGAGATTGTGTGTCCCTTTGCATCAAACAATTAAAACATTCAATTAGTTGACATTAGATTTCAACCTCTTATTGAGTACAAAATACTGATACTTTTATTTTTGAGAAAACTGTAGTTATAACATTGGTCGTCTAACAAACACTTGTATTCACTTCCCATATAATTCAAACATATAAAAATGCTAAATCTTTTGAGTAAAAAAAAAAACACTTACTTGGCAGGATCTGGCATCTGTGTACAAAGAAATCTCAATGACTGAAAACTCTTTCGAATGGAGTGAATGTTTGCCATACCCATAAATACTACTTCACAGTTAGGGTAATATTCTGCAAGAGAATTTGCATTTGGAAAATGCAAAGTTATTATTTAAAAAAACCTAAAGACTTCTTTTTATAATGTGAACATGTAATGAAGAATGATCTCAATGAACATTCCCACCTAATTTGATTCATTTCTTAAACATAGGTCAAAGTTTTCTGTCTCTGCCTTTACCAGTCCACAATTTTGTCTCAATAAACCGAAGGAGTGAAAAATTATGTTTTGTCAAATACAATCAGAACCAAATGGTAGTGCAAATTCAAGCACAACAAATATATTTGCTGAGCCTTAGAGACTCCAAATGTTTTCCTTACACATGGTGTGCTTAATTCCCTACACAATACTTCTAAAAGCTCTTCATTGGTACACAAGTACATTTATGCTTATCCGAGAAAGGGCATGGACAACAGCTGTGAACAGAAGATGTTTTTAAACTCTTTCTCCCCAGTGTTAGAAAATATACTCTCACATTAGGGACAGCTAGGTTGGATGTAAAGCTGAAGTTTCTGCTCTGCCACACCATAAGAAAAGCTCACCCAGTAGAACATGGTGATTTTTTTTTCCACTTCCTATACATGTTTCTGTGATAACAAGATCACAAGATAATCATCACAGGCTTATTTGACTCCATCCATTCTTAATTAATTATTTAAATGTTCTTCGCATTATTCCAGGGACTATTTTGCTTTGCCACTTTGTGACCTTCTGTGAATTGTACCAAGAAGCCCAGGTAGCTTAGTTATTAAAGGCAGCCAAGTTGGGGTACAGTGAGGGAACTGCAAGATAATTTTTTCACTCGGAGGCTGATGAAAATATGGAACATGCTGCCTGGGAAGGTAGTGGAGTTGGCTACTTTGAACACTTAAAAAGCATCTAGATGAATACCTAAAATGCCAGAGATATGGACCAAATGCAGGTGGGTGGGATAGACGTAGTTTGGTGTTCTTTGGTCAGTGTGGACAGAGTGGGCTGAAGAGCCTTTTTCTATGCTGTATGACTCTATAAATAGAGGTATGATACATAAAAGCAAGGAAGTATTGCTACACCTCTGAAAATCATTAGTCAGACCACATTTGGAGTGTTGTGTTCAGTTCTGGGCACCTTTATAAAGGAAGGATGTTAAAGCTCTAGACAGAGTGCAAAGGAGATTTACTAGAATGACACCAGGAATGAGAGATTTTAAAAATAAGAAAAGATTAGAAACATTGATCTTATTCTCCTTGGAGCAGAGAACATTAGAAGTGACCTTATTGAGGTGTTCAAAATTATGAACACTTATGGCAGGGTAAAGAATATTCTGTTTCCACTGATACATCAGTAACCAAGGTCACAATTCAAGATTGTCAGCAAGGGAGCCAGGAATGAGAATAAACTTCTTTACTCAGAGTTGTTAGGATTTGGAATGGCTGCCTGGGATAGCAGTTGAGGTGGATTGCACAGGAAGTTTCAAGAAAGCTAGATACATATTTGAAAGTGATGAATTTAGGGGGCTAGAGAATGGAACTAGCCCAATAGTTCTTTCAGGATTAAGTACAGACAATGGGTTGAATGGCCTCTTTCTGTCCTGTAAACTTTTATGATTCTAAATTCACACATGTAAATAATGACCCAAGCAACTAGGATAATGATGGATTGTCTCAGTCTCCAAGACACAGGCAGTTGTTAGGAATGTCAGGTTGGTAATGGTTAAACTATAAAGCAATTATTTAAGACTATGATTGAATGAGGTTGTGGATACCTAATTTGCATTTCAACCTGGATGGATGTCAAACATGATTCACTATGCCATGGAGACAGGCTTTCAGAGGGCAAGAGTCTATAGGAAGCCACTGCAGCATTGGATGTAGGTTTTCCTGGACAGTCTGCAAGGTTCTGACAGAAAGGAGAGAGCAACGTTCATCAAGCAGGATGCACATGGGAGTTGGATTTGGATTGGAGAGACCAGGTTTGTGGCAATTTAAACAAAACTGGAAGATTCACCAATTTTAGTTAGAAGAATCTGTTCAGACAGTAGAAGCTTTCTTTAAACTTTTTGGGCTCCTGGAGAATGAACTGGGATAGAGTAAAGTATAACTATGACTGCGTTGGGGGCGGGGCAAGAGGAGTGGAATTTTGGGATGCTGTACAGGTCAAGTAGGGATCCTTTCTGTAGCTCAGACTACAAGTTAATGTCTGAAGGTGTTTTGTCACTGTTGCTTTAGTTTATCACAATAAAAGTCTCAAAACTTGAAATCTTGTCATATGATTGTTTCAACCATTCACTGTATGTTCAGAATTCTTTTTTAAAATTATCGGTATCTACATCAACATCAGCTGTCTATATGATATCCAATCTTTTTCACATACTTTCTATTGAGGTGAAAACCAAAGTTTCTGTCTTGTTTCCTCACAGCTCAGCCTTCCTAAGACAAACAAGTTTTTTTTGCACTGTATCCAACACTTAAACATCTCTCATGTCTAGGTGAGCAGGAATTCAGTAATCTCATGGATTGATTTAAAAAAATTAAGGCTAAATTATCTATATTTATGTGCATACTCAATAGGAATTAAGCCAAGATGACCCAGTGTTGTGTGCAAACTATTTTTCATTTGAACAATTGAAACTCAGGATCTAATAGTGAAAAAGGGACTGCTTTAAATTATATAATGCAATCTTCGAAACAGGATTTTTTTTACCATAAATACTTAAAGAAACAGCTCAAAAGTATTGGCAGTTATCAAGTCGATACCGTAAAGAGATAGAGATCATTCAATTGTTAATTTCTGGTATTAACCAACAATCTCTTGATCCAAAAATCTGCTATTATTAGCCTCCAAAATGCTGGTTTGCCATTTCTGTAAAACTTCAAACTCAAGCTACAATTTCAAATGGTCTATTCAGCACTATTTACATTTCCTTGCTGTTACTCACCAGGACATTCACACCCACCGCCCTTTGCCCTGTTAGCCACAGCTGCTGCATATGACCGAGCATCCAAAATCAAAAGTTTGTGTGGTGGACTGCATAAATTTTCTACTCCTGCCGAATTAGTCATTGAAGAATCTACAATGAAAAGACAATTAAGCTTAATTCGCAACGGTGATATGAAGTATAAACAAAAGAACTACATCAGAATACTAGAAGGATGTGACATGAACTGAAAATACAAAATTTATAGTAGAACTGCATAACAACAAGCAAAAACCACTACATCTCTTACCAAATTCCCCATCAGACAGGTCACTACCATTAGAAAAGTCTCGTATACAGTTGCCATTAATGTGTTTGGTGGAGCTCCTGTCCATGGCACAAGCTTTTGCGACAGACTTTATCAGGTGCTCATCATCTGAATTTCTCCAACCCCACCAACTGACTTCTGGCTGACTACAACGTGCAATCACTGCACCGTTGCCTTGGTGCCTGAGAAAGCAGCAAGAAAATACATATCAAGTACATTAATTTATATTTGTGATAATCATTTATTTGAGATAAATTTTGGAGTGGGTAACAGGATGTAGGAGTTTGACCATTTTAGGAATAATGGATTGGACAGCCTGGATCTGGTTTACATGATTCTAAATCACAGTGCACATAGGGGAAAGCAATGTGTTTGTATTTATTCATGGAAGGTGGTGGGGGGGGAAAGAGGAAAGAATGTTGTAAAGAAGTAGAAGCAGTGGAACAGTCCCAAGATCAAGATGCAGGATAGGAAGGGTTTAAGAGGGATATGGGCCAAACGCTGGCAAATGGCACTAGGTCAGATTAGGACTGGTTCGCATGGACGAGTTGGGCCAAAGGCCCATTTCCGTGCTGTACAAATCCATGTATGCTTAACACAACACGGAATGTTAACCAGACATGGAAAGACCTACGCAAACGGATGAAAGCCCTTTTAAGAAAGGCACGCAGAGGTATAATTAATAATTGAAAAATAAACTGGGACACATACAGTGGGCACAAATGTGTTATTTTCATTTACATTTCAAATCTTGGTGCCTCTGCTATGCGCAGACATCAAGATTGAGGTGCTGAAATACGCATTACAACAGATCTATCCTCATATCCGTGTGTAGCAGGCTCAAGGGTGCCATTGGTAGAAACTAATTGCTGATAGTCATAATAACACTTAAGGAAGAGAAATTACAGAAGAAAGAAAAACTTCAATAACACGCTGGATTTATTACTGTGGGATTTTATTGTGAGCAAATGTTCTGCCATTTTTGGCTATATAAATTGCTAATATATATCAGAAAAGTAATTCATGTATGAAAGTATGAAATGTTTGAAATATCTAGAAATATCTCTGGTATATAAATTAACATTCTTTTTGTCAAAAAAATTGTTTAGAAACTGATAAATTCTTTGTAAAAGTGAAACATTATTTGTAAGTTTTGCACAATGAACTTGCAGTGTATCTTTATTTTGCAAACAAATTAGTATCATATAAACAAAAAGCAGAACAGCACATGCTGTCAAGAAATAAAAGCCAGACAAGAGATAAAAACAAATGTGCTTGCAGTATTTGTTTTTCGTTTTAACTGTACTAACCTCTCCTGCAAAATATATCTTTAATTAAAAAACACAGGCAAGAATATGCCAAGAACAGTGTGGAAACAACGTTTAAGATTCAGCATATGTATATAGGTACAAACAGTGCCAAGTTAAAGTGCCTGCAAAGCTTGCAACTCATTTTACTTTCCCTTGTCCCCACCTCATCTGTTGTCTTCCTGGTTTCAGATTATATATTTGTTTTCATACAGTAATCCAAATTGAGAGCATACTTTCCCTCAGTTTTAGCTAACTCCTGGCTGGGAAAGAACAGCAGCATGGAAGGAGCTGAACTTGAGGTAGCTAAGATGGCAGTGCTAAGAGGAACAAGAGCAAGAATTTTGGAGGAGTAAACCATCTGGCCACTCAAGTTGCTCTGCTACTTAATTTAGATTATCGCCGATCGGATTGTGGTCTCAACTCCACTTTACATTCTGTCCTCATAGCCCTGATCTCCCTTATCAAATATCTAATGCAGCCATGAATATATTCAATAATCTAGCTTTCACTGTTCTCTACACAACTGAATTCCACAGACATGCATAAATGCTGCTCATTTCAATCTGAAATGGGAGACTCCTATTTTTCAAAATGGTGTCACTTAATTCTAGACTCCCAAATAAGAAAACAGTAAAGGAGAGATTTGAGAACATTTCTAAAAATTGGGCAAGAAATTTCTCAAATATGGGGACTGTGAACTTGTTGCCAAATATCATTGCTCCAGAAGATGCTAAAAGCAGTCAACAGTACAAGAGCCCAAAATTATTCAGATGAATTGGGCCATTAAGGCAAATGGGTAGCTAATAAATTGCAAACCTTAACAAGCAAGTGATTAATCATTAAAATTGGTTTTGAATGCTCAGAAATCATAAATAACAGCACAAAAATACCTTATAGCTACCTGCAAATGGCTCATGAATTACAATTCTCAAAAAAAATCCAAAATAAATCATTTACTAGATTAGACAACTGTGACAAAAATGTGTATAATATGTACTAAGGCTTGTGAGTTGATTTTAAAATAGAGGCAGGCAGCTGGCTTTAGATCAGTCCTATGAAGGTAATTTATTTTTTTTAAAAGGCAAGAAAGTAATTTAGAACTGTGACTATCTACAAAATGCACTGCTGAAATTCACCCAAGATTCTTAGACAACACCCTCCAAACCCACAACCGCTTCCATCCAGAAGAAAAAGGGCAGCAGATACATGGGAACACCATCACTTGCATGTTCCCCTCCAAGTCACTCACCACCCTGACTGGGAAATATATCGCCATTCCTTCACTAGCTCTGGGTCAAAAGTCTGGAATTCTCTAACAGCATTGTGGGTCCACTTATGGTACATGGACTACAGCAGTTCACCACCACTTTCTCAGGAGCAATCAAAGACAGGCAATAAATGCTGCTGCTACCCATGTCCCACGAATGAATAAAGAAAAATGTTAATATGTCATTTCCAAGAAGTCACATGGTTTCAGCCAAGTGCCTGGGCGGACACCTGAGATGTTAATGGGTGGAAACCGAAAGAACTGCGGATGCTGTAAATCAGGAACAAAAACAAAGTTGCTGGAAAAGCTCAGCAGGTCTGGCAGCATCTGTG